CACTGCAGAATACCATTTTCAGATAGTGTATGCAATTTCACTAGCAGAATAACTACAGAAGCTGTCACATAGATATTTCTTGCCACAGTAGATTCATACTGAAGCCTCATGTACTTGCACTGAATTTCAAAAGCAAAAATTGGCTTGATTATCCCAAAAGTGTGTAGAATGATTATTGAGATTATCAAAAATAATATACAGGTAGGGTTAGTTTATAATTATACAGTACACAATTTAATGTTTTTATATGTCATACTGTAAACAAACATCAAAGCTTAATCAAGTAGCTTTTGATGCCAGTAGGCTAATGATTTTTGCTTTATTTAATGTCAGTAGGCTTGGGATTTTGTAGGTATTATGGAATAGTAAAAAAAAAAAGTTGTGGTTAATTAAGGTAGAATATGGTATTTAAAGGAATAAATAAAAAAATGTCAAAGGTAATGTTTGAAATACACTAAACTCTTGTATCTTGCACCATACCTCTGAGTGGCACAACACATGCAGCTGAACTAATAGAAGCATACACTGTGCATGCATGAGTCAGCTGACTTTTATATGTTTTCATCCAGAGAAATTCCTCTCGGATTTATTTTTATTTTTTTTATTTATTTATCGACTGACAAATCCACATAATATCTACAATTTATTGCAAACATTCATCAGATTTGTTGGCGGCTTGTCAAGTCAGGTGATATATCCGTGGTGTAAATGCACCTTTAAAGTGTTGAAGATTTATTGATACCTGGTGATAACTCTTTCAAAGTATTTTGCAATTTGTTTATCAAATGAGTGAAGATATTGCCTCAAAGAGCTTGTACAAAGAAGTAAATTGATAGTAAAAGACATAAGTAAGGAGATCTATTTAAAGAAATTAAGTGGTAAACTATAATCTATGAAGGAATGGTAAAAGGAACATTGGAATCTTTGAATGATTGGTAGCGTAACTTGGCAATCTCTGTGTGGAATTTGAGAAAGTGCATTCAAATCCTCCTTATAAGCTAGTGTAAATACGACTAATTAAGGAAATACTGTAAAATAAAAAATTTCTTTTGGTGACCATAACGTATCTATTTGTCATTTGCAATAATCTTGGGAACTAAATGAATTGTGAAGTACAGTATACTGTATAATGAAGAAGTTAGTGATAGCTGACATGGAACAAGCTGATGTTCAATTTTAATTAATATTTTGTCATGCTTTATTAGCAATTTGTGTAGTACAGTACTGTACCATGAACACAAAGAGTAGCTGGTATTTTGATACCAGAAAAGACAGTCATCACATGCAGTATTTAGCAGTATTTAGTGTTAATATAGAAGTTAAGTTCATCATCTTCAATTTTGAGTGAAATATTATATTATCTATTGTACTGTACTGTAATATTGCATTGTGGCAGTACAGTGCCTCAGACTAGCTCCGCATGGTTGAAACACACATATATTGGTATTGAAATCTTGATCAGAATGTGCCTAAACTAAGATATGCAGAAGTGACCTTTATAAATGGATGAATACCCATTCATTCTTTTTTTTTAAATATGACAGTGCCTACATAACTTTTATAGTAATATTTAATGATTGGTGTGGATCATTAACTTACCTCTTGTTCTCCTAATATTAATAGAAATTCATGTTCTTCAGAACCAACTTCAATGGAATGGCTTTGCTACCTATTTGAATTTGTGTAATTATGAACAACTTGCATTTTGCTGCCAGAAATTCCATGGTTGTAAGTGAATGTATGTCACATAGTTCATTGAAATTTTAGTTGTCATGCCCTCTATAATACAGATATAGAGATGTTTATGTCACTACCAAAACTTGCTGTTATGCATTTTCAGTGTGATATTAAATTTATATATCAAGAATAATCCTTGCAATACATGAATTGACTTGCCTTTGTAAATGTTGAAGACAATTACAGTACATATTTCTTAGAAGGAAAGAGATGATAATTGCTGCAGTATTATATTGATATTACTACTAAACCTGTACCAAAAATATGATATAGTACAGTACTGGTAAATATAAGTTTACAGTAGTGTCGGGATATATTGCGAGATAGGGTCCAACGATGTTTGCTATATACAAAATCACGATATATAATTACATGTAAGCAATGGGGAAAATAGGGTTAGGTTCTGGAGGCCCAAAAAAGTTACTAAACTTGACTTAACGAGTTCATTTTCTTACTAACTAAAGCACCAATGAACACTAGACTCGGGAACAACAGACTATTTCAATATCAATATCAAGTAACACCAGACTCGGCAGCTGATGCACCATCCTGGGAACACCAGACACGGCAGTAGACGCAACACTGTCACCCTCACTTGACAATCCCACGCCTACATAAACAAACACCAAAAATATAAGTTACAGTATTAAATATTTTCCATTAAAGCTTTCCACTTTCTTCACTTCACTTTTCACGTCACTAGCAACCCATTTACACTCGCATTAGAAATTGGAATCTGCACCGGACTCGGCAGCTGACGCGTCATTTTGAGAACAACAGACGATACACTGCCACCCTCACTTAATGATCAAAAACGAACAAACTAAAAAATTTAGTTCCAGCATTAAATCTTTTCCATTAAGCTTTCCATTTTTTTCACTTCACGTCACTAGAAACCCATTTACACTCCCCTTAGAAGTCGTAATCTGCAGCAGTCGGCTGCTTTCTCGTCACTTACTCAGAAAGACTGAACGGGTGAGCGTGATTGCGTGAGTGAACAGCCACAGTAGCGCCTCTGGTGAGCAAATAACGCATTTGTTTGCCATGGTGGTACATTTGAAATATTTCCTGCCAAATTTTCCTCGCAAAATAAAAAAAATTTTCGCTATACAGTACTGTATATAGGAAAATGTCAATAATTTTGGTAGCCGCGATATAAAAAAATCGTTTTATAAAGTCGCTATATATATCCTGACCCTACTGTAGTTACAAATGAATAATCCGTATCAAACCTTTTGTTGCAGACTTCACTTAGTTTCTGTATAACATTTCTTTTTTCACAAAATATAACATATTTTGTAACCTTTTAGCAACTGTGACTACTGTGTTATCCAGTTGATGTAAAGTGAATGTATGACTGAATTTGTTACTAATTATTTCTATATTGCTTCTGTATCTACATTTTAGGGTTTTATATGGTTATTTAGTAACATTAATTAGTATAATGATGGTTTCATAATGGTCATATTTTCCTCCACTGGACGCCACTCTCTGAGGACTAATGAGGTAATCTTGTTTTAAAGCAATCTGATTTTTGTTTTTTGTTAAATAATATTCATAATTTTTTGTATCTTTTTTTTTTCTTGCATTTTGGATACTGTAGTGTATTATTCCATAGTCCCAGATGACTGAAGAATGACTGCAGTAATATAGATGCAGTACAGGTAGTATATCAATTATCCATATCTCCAGATGCAAATTATTTTAACCAGACAAAAAACAAATATACTTTGTACCAATCATCCAGTGTGTTTAAACCAGCTTGGTGTTAGTGCTTCGTTGCATTACTCCACTTTTACTGACTAAAACTGTACCAATGCATTCCATATGGCATCCAAAATATAATCAATGGTTGCCTTATCATCTCCTACATTGTTTGCTTAAAAAGAGGAGAAAGTTACATTATCAATAAACAATAACATAGAAATATTGCAGCAACTAAATGTAGATAAGAATGCAAAGAAATTCATGGGTGAATTTCATTTTGGGTTTGTCTGACTGCATTCTCTAACCTTTAATAGTTTTTGTTCTAGGCTCATTATTTCCAAAATCCAGAAAATTTCCAAATCCAGGTCAATTCTGGTCCCAAGCTTACTGGATAATTAATGTATTACCTGTATATTCTAATTACTGTATAGAGCTACATATTTGGATTCAATCACATTATATAAAAAAATTTATGTACAGTAGGTTACATTAAAATCTACCGTATTAGCAGTTGCCTCTTCTTCATGTAATGCATCATTAACTTTGCTCAAAAAGAAATTTGTACAAGCCTCTTTGTTTACCATTTTTCTCTTTTTTTTTCTTAATGAGATCTTGTGTATTTCCTATTGTGGACCTTCCCTTTAACCACTCCTTCTTTCATATCTTTACCCTTTAAATTTCCCCATCCCCATCTGTGTTAGGAGGAACCTTGCTTTGATACAGTTGGCTGTTTTCTCCATTGTAAGAGATGGTCATTTACAAAGAACTTACAAAACCTCTCAGCATTATTGACTCAAAATATACGACCAGGGTATTAGGTGGTGGAGACAGGGCAGGGTATAAAAAGGAGAGACAGGACAGGGTATAAGGTGGTAGAGACAGGGCAGGGTATTAGGTGGTAGACATGGCAGAGTATTAGGTGGTAGAGACAGGGCAGGGTATTAGGTGGTAGTGACAGGGCAGGGTATAAAGTGGTAGAGACAGGGCAGGGTATAAGATGGTAGAGACAGGGCATGGTATTAGGTGGTAGACATGGCAGGGTATTAGGTGGTGGAGACAGGGCAGGGTATGAGGTGGTAGAGACAGCAGAGTATTAGGTGGTAGAGACAGGGCAGTGTATTAGGTGGTAGAAACAGGGCAGAAATGTTTCTTGCATTTTCTCATTAGAGTTACCAGAGACCAAGAGCAGGAAATGGCTTGCATTAAAAATATAATACTGTATACAGTATTAAGAAAAATGAATAAAACGTCAAGGAATCTTCAGATGGTAAATAAGAATTACAGTACTAATGTTTTGTTGATTGTACTCTGGTAGTTTTAGAAGCAATACAGTATCTTTTTTTTGAATGGAGAATCTACTTAGATTCTCCTCTGTTGTAGCAGGGTTTTGTCATTCCTTTACCTCTACCTTTTATATTCTTTTGTTAACCTAGCCTTCTTCCTCTTTGCCTTTACAGTAACCTTTCATTTACCTAGCTTTTTCTCCCTTGCAACCTTTATTCTTCCTCCCCCTCCATTTACACTTTCATTCATAATCCTCATTTATCTTTTTCCAGGGAGTATGTGAAGGATCCACGTGAGGAACGGCGAGCGTGGCTCAGGAAAGCAAGGGCAACATGAGTCATCATCAATATACTTTCCTACGTTCTTACGCTTTATACACAAACACTAATATATCTGCATATTTATTTCTGTCCATGTGTATGCTAATGTCAAATTATAATTATGTTCTTGCATTCATATGCTCACAGTCGTGGAAACATTCTCACACACTCATAAATGCTCAATCAGATTAAGCACTGTGCGTCAGTCTGAGAATAATTTCTGTGATGCAGATTATGATATATTGGTGAAATATTTACAGTACATGATGTGTTTTTAACTTCACAGGGTACTAAATATATATATATACAGTCCTGCGCCGGTTAACGTCCTAGATATGTTCTTGGAAACGTGACGTTAACCGAAATGGACGTTGTTCGATCATCACAAAAACGCTATATCGAAAGTACAGAACTTATGGGATTTATTCTAATTGGTTCCTAATTGGATCCTAGTGCTGTCACTTGGTACCCCTGTACCATAACACCAGAAGCAACTGGCCAGTGTCACAAGTATATACAGTACAGTACAGTCATCCCTTGGTTATCGTGCCTAATTGGGACCCCGCCGATAACGAAAGTACAGAACCTATGGGATTTATTCTAATTGGTTCAGGCACTCAAGACCCAACCCCAATTTTCCCATTTTACGACCATTTAGACCCACTAAATATATATATAATGTTATGGTAGATATCAGAAACACACATAGGCATGGCTAGGTTTATTACAAAGTGATGAAAAGGGTACGCTCAATACTGTAGTCCACAAAACATGTAGCTATGCTTTTTTTATTTGGTCTCCCATCATACGAGTCCATTTTCTCTCACTTCAGGACGCCTGAGTCCTCCGTTTTCTCTCAATCTTAGAGTGCACCCGAGACTTCGTTATTCCTTAGTAATGACACAATTTTATATTGCAACTGGGGTTGCAATTGTTGAGGCAATTTAGATATCTCTGATTACAGTTGGAATATTCAAGATCCATTGTGAGTGATGTTTAAAGCTTCAACTGTCTTTATGGTTGGTAAAACTTGTCAAGTCTGTCAGTCTGAGTGGCATGTGTGAGTGCTTGTGTTTGTACAACCGCTTTCATTCAGACCCACTAAAGATATAACGTTATGGTAATTATCAGAAACACACATAGGCATGACTAGGTTTATTACAAAGTGATGAAAAGGATACGCTCGATACTGTACAGTGGGTAGTCCACAAAACATGTAGCTATGCTTTCCTAACTTGAGTGCCCCGTCATAGGAGTCCGTTTTCTCTCGCTTCAGGACGCACAAGTCCTCCATTTTCTCTCAATCTTAGAGTGCACCAGAGACTGTTATTCCTTAGTAATGACACAGAATTTGAAACTGCAACTGGGGTTGCAATTGTTGAGGCAACTAGATATGTCTGATTACAGCAAATGTGTTATTGTCAATTTGTAGGTGAAAGATTTTATCCTCAATAGATGTAGGTTAACATTACACCTGGAGGCAAATTCTTACTAAAGCCTAAGGAAGGAAGGATATTCCTTTAACACATAATATCTGGCCAGTATGGGGAGGATCATCGTGTCTCCGTCAGGGGGTCGTGGAGTGGTGGCCCAGCAGGCGTCACGGAGGTTTTTCGGGGGCTCGGACGTTGTTCAGTTGGACGTTAACCGGCACATGACTGTATATAATAAAATGGACTAAAATACATACAAGATACATCTCTTAGGAAATGTTACAAAATACCAACTTATTCAAGCCCAAATATTGACACATAAATTATCACTTATGGTACTCATACAAGATGAATTAACAGGTATATGATCATTATTACAATTATTGTAATAATTGTAAAGTGCTACTTACTATGGGTACATGAAGATTTTTCTTCAAACAGTAAAAGAAGTTATGAAGCACAACGTGTTTATACAGTGGTCCCTCCATTAATGAGCACAATTGGTTCCACAGAGTCACTCGTTAACTGAATCTATTATTTCAATGGGATATTGAGTAATTGGTTCCAACTCACAGAATTCCCTTTAAATTAATTAAAAAGTACATACAAAGTACTGTATACCAGTAATAGAATTAGACAAAACATTAAATGCCTTCTTCGTATTTCTTAATAATTTCTTGTTTCACTTGAATTGAAATCGCCTTCTGAGATTTCTTCGACCCATGCTTGATAATTTCACCAATAAAATTTTAAGTTCACAACAATTTATTTAACTAATTCCAGGTTTTTTCATTTAAACCAACACTGCACTGTATATTATATCAATATGTTAACTAAATTTCAGAATGACCAATAATTTTAATGTAAAAATGCAAAAATATTCAAGAGCACAACTTTCTCTGTGTTTGCTCCACTGGAAACAAAGCTAAACAGAGAACCGATTATTGGTAGACGAGTCAATATGCTGATGCGCGCAAAAAGTGTTTCTCATACACTAGCGTAGCTCGGGGCGGTCCTTCCCGGCACTTTTGGGTCTGCTCATCACCCATATCTGCAGCTACTGGAGACGTTAATCCATCCCTTTGTATCGGCGGCAAGTTAATCCTTGTCATGTCTGACCTAACACCTGACCCACATCATCACGGCCACGTCATGAGCTACACCCTTGCTATGAGGCCCCCCGCCATACACACAACCTGTAACCTGTTGAGGGGGGGAGCGGCAAACTCAAGGGCCGCCCCGGGCGGCACACACTCTAGCTACGCCACTGTTCTCATAAGGCTGTGGTTAATAGAATTTGTACTAGTTAATAGAACTGAAGGTCCTTACGGGAGGGAACTCGTTAACTGAATCTCGTAGATTGAACCACTCATTAATGGAGGATCCACTGTACAGTATTTATATTTTAATCCTAAATAAACTTGCGTATGGTAAAAAAACAAAACAATAAGATTCAAATTCATATTAATTTTTTCTAAGTTATAATTGTCAATGTCAGAAAGAACAATCCTTCATGATTATTTTGTGCTTGGATGCAAGAACACTTACATGAACTTATAGATTGCCTGATAACATTCAGATATAAATTAACCATTTTAATACAAATGCATAATAAACTCTCCGGGAAATTGTTACACTAACATGATACAACGCACTATTGTTTCAACAATATTATACCATATATCAAACTCATATAAATACAAATATTCATGTAGTCTTGTGGATACAGTATGCAATGAAAGTTTGTTAGAATGGTGATGAAAGAAAATATTAATACTGTACTGTAGAGAAGTTGTTAAAATGACCTGTATGAGGATGACTGTGCCTGCAGCCCTTCTGAATAAGAATCATATTATTAACACATGACTTACAGTTTACTCTGAAAGCCATGATATTGGCTCCTCTTAATGAAATCACAAATAATAGCTTTGCTTTCAACACATTTAGTAGTTCACTTTTTATATGATAACTTAGATACTGTATCTGTATCTGAGGTCAAAGATGGTATTTTCACTTGTATAAATTACTTAAAGATGGCAAATACTATAGGACCTCACTGATTCCAAAAAATTATGTATATATATATATATATATATATATATATATATATATATATATATATATATATATATATATATATATATATATATGTATATTATATATATATATATATATATATATATATATATATATATATATATATATATATATATATATATATACTATATATATATATATATATATATATATATATATATATATATATATAATATATATATATATATTTATATATATATATATATATATATATATATATATATATATATATATATATAATATATATATATATATATATATATATATATATACTATATATATATATGTATATATATAATATATATATATATATGTATATATATATATATATATATATATATATATATATATATATATATATATATATATATATAATATATATATATATATATATATATATATATATATATATATATATATATATATATATATATATATATATATAATAAAAAACTCTGGTATCACACTTATCCAAAAGATTTATATTTTTTTCCATTATCCTAAGTGGCTTTCCATGTTAGTGTCTAGCTAAACTTGCAGCACCAGCAAAATAGAAAGTTTAGAGATGAATCTAGATTTCTTGGTAAATTTGAATTTGCTCTCTTGCAGTCTACTGTAGTGTGATTACCAGAATGTGTATTTAAAAAGAGTTTTACTTCAATTGGTTTATTGCTACCAAATAACATCTAGCATAGGTGTGTCTACACGTTTTGATATTGGACAACTTATGGGTATGAGACTGCATTGACTAGGGAAGATTTAATTCCTTTCAATTCCAGGTTCCTAAGAATGTTTGACTTATCTTAATTATGATGGACTTCTTGCCACCAATTTTGCCATATAAATAAGCAAGTATACTTGCCAGTGCCATAAGCTAGTACAGTATGAAGTAACATGTTGATAGGAGGCCTTAATACTTAGTGGCTGGCAAACACTGTATCAGTAGAAGATAAACTGGCAGGCCACAATCAGGTTAAGTTGTGACTATTGACAATTTTACCAGAATGTATCTCATAATGCTCCTAAAAGAACACTTGTTCTTGTACTATAATCTGAGATTCTTTAGATTTGAAGCTTATTTCATACAAGTCAAGTTGCTGTGTATGTATATTACTTTATGATATTTCATTATTCATAGTTATTTATAAAGAAATTTTTCATGCATAAATATTTATACATAAATTTTTAAGTTTGATGACAGTAATTATGTTCTGCATTAAAGAAATAAAGTTACATTTAATTTATTGTATGATCTAAAACTATTTAATAAGTACAGAGGCACGATATTGTAGTTAATGTGGTTCCTGGAGTAAGAGTTGGGTGTCTTATTGTACAGTGTAAATTTAGCTTTATTATCAATTATGAGGTATGGCCAGAGTAGCATAGTGATATGCTGTAAGTGCTGTGAAAGACATTGATGAATATATGCAAACTGTTCTTTTGATTTATGGAGGCTTTTGTTGAAGATGCTGTGGAAATTCAACCCATTAATGCATATGTTTTTACTTGTGCCTTAAGCTTGTCATGCTAAAGTCATTGACTACAAATGAGTACAGTATAACTTTACAAGTTGTTGTATCCTTATTACATATTTAAAACCTATTTTAAATTGTATTTCTATAATGTAAGAAATAGGCTTTTTCACAGTATCGCATAGTCGTCTTTTGTTACGTAGATAAAAGCCTTCAGTTTGTATTTATTCCCTCAAGCTGCTATGCAAATGTTATGTCAAAATGGTATATAGTATATTTATCGTTAATGTTATCGTGATTAGGGAATAAAAACTAAGCAATAGTAAATGCTCGGGTTTATGTGCTTCAGTCTGCGAGAACTGTTAACTGAACACTTTTGATGTAAAGATGTTTTAGTTAAAAAGATCCCATTTTCCATTTTATTCTTATCCATTATGAACTTTAACTGACTTTTATGATGAGTAACAACAGCATTCAATTTATATTTTTTCTTAATATATTGTTTTTGTTGAACTGGAAACTTTGTGTGTC